TAAACCCTAAAACCATAAACCCTAAACCCTAAACCCTAAACCCTAAAACCCTAAAACCCTTATCCCAAAGACCTAAACCCTAAAACCCTAAAACCCTAAACCCTAAACCCTAAAAACCTAAACCCTAAACCCAAACCCCTAAAAACCTAAACCCCAAACCCTAAACCCTAAACCCTAAACCCAAACCCCTAAAAACCTAAACCCTAAACCCTAAACCCAAACCCCTAAAAACCTAAACCCTAAACCCTAAACCGTGAAGCACCCGCCTCCCAAGTCGGCTGAGCCAGGGCTTGCTAGCACTCGTCAGCTGCCAGCTGGCCTTAGCTCTGCTTCGAGGCACGACCTGGGGGGGGCTTCTCGGGTTTGTTAGGGGTTGGGGTTAGGGTTTTGGGTTTTGGGTTTTGGGTTTAGGGTTTAGGGTTTAGGGTTTAGGGTTTAGGGTGGGTTGTTTTTGGGGGGTTTAGTTAGGTCGTTTTAGGACTTGCGGTTTCGGGTCTGGCTAGGGCCTCAGGGTTTTCGCGTTCTCGCATTTGCAGTCGTGTTAGTAGTCGAAAGCGCAGTCGCAGTTGTAGGCGTAGTCGTCATAGTCGTACAGTCGTAGTAGTGGTGGTAGTCGTCGTCATTGTCGTCGTCGTCGTCGTTGTAGTAGTTGTAGTAGTTGTCGTTGTTGTTGATGGTGGTGGTGCTGGTGGTGTCAGTCTTAGTTGCAAATAACTTCGATCCTGAACGACAAGCTCTAAGCGAAAACCATCAAGAAACTCTGCCCTAAACCCGAAACCCTAAATCCCAAACTTTAAACCCTAAACCCTAAACCCTAAATCCCAAACTTTAAACCCTAAACCCTAAACCCTAAATCCCAAACTTTAAACCCTAAACCCTAAACCCTAAATCCCAAAACGAAAACACCCAAACCCCTCAGACCTGCCGCAGGTAGCGCTTGCAACGACCCGGCCGGAGCTGCCCGCTGCCTCGCAGCTGCTGCCGCTGGCCTTCTGGTGGCCTTGAGGCTCTCTGGGATTTAGGGCGTAGGGTTTAGGGTTTAGGGTTTAGGGTTTTAGGGTTTAGGGTTTAGGGTTTAGGGTTTAGGGTTTAGGGTTTAGGGTTAGGGGATTTCTGGGATTTACTGTTGGGTGCTAGGGTTTTGACGTGTCGGGTTGAGGGTTTCAGGGCTTTCCAGGCTTTTCGCAGATCTCGGGTAATTGTCGGGTTAAGATTAGGGAGCGATTAGAGACTTACTTGGAGGATCATGGGACTTAGTAAGTAATCAGGGCTATAATTAGGGTAACTATACTCATAACCCCAATTAAGGGGCTTATAACCTTAGGTAGCGCTTTGCATCGGAATCCTGGCTCCCCTTGCAAGATCCCCTTGTTAAAGCAAAACTACAGGTGGGGAGTTTAAGGTATATTGGGCTTCTATGAGGCTTCCATAAGGTATATAGACCTTCTATAAGGCTCCTATAACGGTAACTACCCACCTGAAGATGTCCTAGACCTTGTGCTTGCAGGGGGGTGAGGAGGTAGCGTTCGGATCAGCCTTTACCATGTCGCCGAGGGGCTACTAAGTGGTTCTAAATGATTACCAATACTATTTTGGGGGCTCCTTATTAGAATCATACTATAATATACCCCCCAAGACCTATGCAGATTATTAAGGCTCCTACATTATGCTGTCGCTGCTTGGAGCTTCGGAGGCTACAAGTCATCCGAAGCGTACCTGCCGTATTTTGCTTGCCTACTTAGAACCCCACTTAGCCCCAGATCCCGTAAGTGGAGCCATGTCAACTGTAGATGTCATCCCGAAAAGTTCAGCCGAGCTCACTATGTTCCCAGAGACTCCAATATCCCTTAATTAAGAATCTACCTTAAATCAGATTAGGGATCCTACTATAATTTAAGGTATATCCCTTAACTAAGGGATATTGGAGTCTCTAGGTTGTCAGAGGCTAAAGTCCCACGACAACGATGATGAGCCAGCTGTCGCCGGAAGTGGAGCCTGTTATAGCAATGATAAGGGCATTGATACTTACACTCGTAATGATAACAGCAAGAGAGATGAATAACAAGTGTGCTCGCAGAAATGCTGGCAATGACTCTAGCTCAAAATGCCAAGCACCCAAGGCCTGAACCCCCAAACCCCAAAACCCCAAAACCCCAGTCTCTCCACCACTCAAGAAATCCGGGGATTGGGTT